GAGGATCATATTCAAAGTATCTCCTCCAGTGTGAAAATAAAGAGAAAAAAAATCTTAATATTCCGAACCAAGTGCCCGTTATGTCACTTCTATCTCGTCAGAACTAAAATTAGCGCCTTCGAATATTAGTCACGCTCTTGTTACAACGCCATATAATCAACTTTTATCGTTCCGCCAACATTTTCTTTTTTTTTTTGTTCGACCGAGCTACAGTATACATTTTTTATCAACGAAACATTGTAAACTTGTTTCAGTTTTCAAGAGAATCCCCTATGACGCGCATACCAATCGTCGCAAAATGCAAAAGTTTCTCCTCGCAAATGATTCAATTCGTTGACATACGAGAAATAAATTAGAACAAAAATAAAAAAAAATTGTCCGACAGCGCGCTGTTGCGGGTACACGTTTCGTAAAAGCGCGTAACTCACTGGATCGGGACTTAAATCAGTTGAGGTCGAGTGACGTTGCACGACGGCAGCGAAGGGACAGCGATGCTTGCAATGTGCGCCCGTAGAAATCTCTCGTATACCGACAGGTATAGGACCTGCGCAAAACCAAACTGTCCGCGTTCCTGACACTTTACATGTACGCGAGTCCGCGCACGCGCGATTGCTTTTTTCGTTATGCTGCCCCCGAATCTCGCGATCTTCGCGAGCTTTGTCAATGGCCTTTATTTGTTGCGCAAATTTGTCATTGACCCTTTACGTAGTATTTTCACGCGGGAATAATTGTAAAGAATTTTCATCGTTGGGTCGATGACATTTATTTAATCAAACTGCTAATCACGAAAATTAAATTTTATGATATAACAAGGAGAAATCATGGTTTATGATGATGCATTACATTTCTTTCTTGGGATTCGTTCAATTTTTGTAACACAAGTACTCAATGATAGAAAAGTGAAACTTGAAATATAGTATCTTCTAAAATTGTAATAAATTGTCGAAAAGGCTCCAAATTAAAGTATAAACAATGGTACAGCGAACACAAGATTAAAATTAACGGTGACATCTATGAACCATCGACATTAACTATATATATTAGCGGGCAAAGTTGGAAGTCACTTTGCGCGAATACGAAACGGAGCGAAGGACGCGCAGGCGCACCGAAGTTGTTGCGCGCGCCGTATTGGTTAAATTTTGATTTACGCACGCGAAGATTCACGAGCGGCAGCATTCGCATAATCGTATGCCCGGAGCGCGAAACCGCGACGGTAAAAAAGGAGCAGCATCGCGGGCCGCACGCATAAAGAGGAGGAATATCCGAGCGATGAATATTTTAAAGAGCGCGCACGGTTTTATACGTGTGACGCGCTCGGAGCTGCGGTTTTCCGAGGGAGCGCAAGCGCCAGCGGGGCAGGTGCATGGCGGATCTCGTGCGTTTTCGTGCGGCCGCGCGGGCGCGCGCGCCGGAATAAATTTATATCGGGGGAGACAAAGAGCGCGCGGGAGAGTGATAGAGGAGACAGTTTTAGAGGGAGACGTCGAGTGAAATATATTTCAGCAGCTTCGACGGTGCGTATATATATATATATATATATATATATATATATATATATATATATATATATATATATACAGCACTCTCCGTTCGACGCGATTAAAACCCAGCAGCGCGCGCGTGTGTGTGCCAGTCCTCCTCTCTCGCGCTTATATGCAAGAAAAAAAGCAGTCTCGCGGAGCGTTCCTCCGTCGTCTTTTTCGGCGATGCTCCCCTTTTCGTTTGCATTTGTTTCCTTCACTTTTTTTTTGCCTTTACCTGCCTCTGTCTTTCGATCGAATTTCGTACGTACCTACCTCTCTCTCTCTACCCCTTTGAATTATTGCTGGGACTATCGTCTTTTGCTGCTTCTTTTTTTTTCTGCCCTGCAAAAGTAACTTTTTTCCAGTGTTGTTGTTTGTTCATGCTGCCTCTAGGAGTAGCAGTCTATTTTTTTTCTTGGTCCTGTATCGCTCATTCATTAGCCACCGACGACAGTTCCATATCGATCGATCGATTTTTTGTTGCCTAGGCTCGTCGGGTTTTTTCGAATTAAATTATAGCTGCGATGCGATATGCTTCGAAAAAGCTTGCGAGATTTTTTTGACTCGCTGACGGGCCTCGTCGGCTGATATGGCGTGATCGATGCGATCTTCGCCTTTCTTTTCATATTAGTGGGAATTCGTTCATGATGATTATTCGTTAACATTATTTTGTGAGCGATCATAAAAAAAATTTTCTCACGTATTTACATTCATAATGAAATCGCGATAAAGATATAAATAATTTTTTTTATTCAACAGATGCAATTCTAGAATATCACGTGATAACAAAATAAAATATCGGTTGAAGTAAAGCATTGCATAAAGTTCGGGATACGTCTAACACCTGCATGAGTAGAGAATGAGATGTATATGCAAATGTACAGCTGAATACTAATTTGATTGTAATTGTAATCAAAAAGATCAAGTTAATTTTCATTTCCACAATTTTATCTCTAATTTATCTATAAAAAGAAATTTTAATAATACAATAATTCGACGACAGACGTTCTTATGTATGCTTATGTATCCCAAGCTGAACCTGATCGATATCGTACGAAATTCTACGCGTCGAATCATGAAAATGATAATATAAAAATGTATTCCCAATTAATATTTAAACGTTCGATAACTCTCACCACTCGCAGACGCGCTTGAGCTCCAAAAAAAAAAAAATAATCTAACAAAAAAAATTGAAACGCTTTAGAATTTCATTACAGATAGGCACATTGAATCAAGCAGCCCAAAAGAGTTATTTTAATTGATTTCCCCGTCTGCGCGCTTTATACATAACATGATACTGCACGGGCGCGATACGCGCTATCTCCGTCTAATTTCCCGATTAAAATTTTCCTCGCAAGAGCGCAGAATTAAGAAGCATTTCCCACGCCTATTATGAAATATGAAAAGTTCAATGATAATCGCGAGCACATGCGGAAAAGTACCGTAAAAAAAAGAAGAAGATTGGAGGGGAAGAAGACCAAGGAGGGAGAGAGCTTCCCTGAGAAACTTACAGCGACGTTAACGAAGCGTTAAAGCGTGCAGGGCAGGTGCATCGCCGAGGATTATTAAGGAAGAGTCGACGGGGGGATATGAAGTTGTACGTGTAACGAGTATTTCGCACTGCGCGTACTTGCTGTTCTGTTGTTTTCGTTTGTAACTCTCGCCCGCTAATTAATCGAGTATATATATATATGTGTGTGTGTGTGTGTGTATGCGTGTGTGCGCGCGCGCGTGTATTCCGACGCTTCGCGCGTGTACGAATTGAGCGATTACATGCTAGACGTGGATATACTTCGACGAGCAGGTCGGATCCGTGCACATCTCTTCTGAGATCTACTTGGCGTCTTCCGACGCGTGTGTTCCACGGTAATTTTATTCGCGAAAATCAAACGGCTAATTGCGCAGCGCGAGCGTCACCAAGAGGACTTCGCGACGAGAGCTGCCCCCTCCCCCCAACTCCACGCATCGCACCGCGCATCGACTGAATCTCGCAGACGAAATTGGACGCGCGATTTCCCGAAAGTAGCGGCGACGCGTCGTCGCGCAAGGCACAAGTTGTAGACGAACTTTCCAAGCCGCCCACGTCGATGGGCTGGCTCGCGCGCGCGCGAATCCATCTTCCGCGAGCGTTATATCACTTGCGCTGCTCGCCGAGCCGCACGACAATCAGAGTCCCGCACGTGCAGTCACAATTGAAAGCGAACACCTCCGCGGCAGCTGCTTCTGAAAGTAGTCGATTCCAGTGTAATAATATGAAAAGAGAACAAGTGCGAGAGAGGCTTGTGCGTATTACGAGCGCTGTACTTATTAACGGTTTGTCTATTTTCATGTAGCTCAGAGAGCGCTCTTGCGCTCTCTCTCTCTCTCTCTCTCTCTCTTCTCGAAAGAGAGAGAGAGAGAGAGAGACCCCCGCGGTGATTCACATAGTCCTTAAACCAATCCGGGGATAGTCTGCCTTTCTCTTCGTTTGCTAATCGAACCGCTTCCTACGCCGTGCTCTCCCTCCGTGTTGTAATTACATAACGGAAAGGCCCTCTCTCTCTCTCTCTCTCTCTCTCTCTATCGTGAACTCAATGCTCCAAAAATCCAGGCGTGATTTTTCGCTTCCTCGACAATGCTACTTGGGTGGTGTGTGTGCGCTTCGCGATTGTGGGTCGCGAGGTGTCTGTCGAACACGCAAAGCTTAATTAATAATAAATTTCCAGGGAAAACAATGTACAAGTCGTGACTGCTGTGTATACTTTTGCGAGTGGTGCGCTTCGTTAGGTGTGTGTATGTGTGTATGTGTATTGGAACGAATGTAAGTTGTATCGCCAGATTATTATTTGATTACGGCGAGAGCGGCGTCGCTTCTCTCTTTCTTCCCTTCGACGTCTCTCGCAAACGATATATTAATTTCTTTTTCGCTTCTACGTCGCTCGCACACACAGCAGTGAAAGTTGATCGGTATTTATGGCTAGACCGCTTATGACCTAGTCATGCATGTCAACTTACTCTGCGACTAGCGGTTCATTTTTTTTCCTTTTTCTTTTTTGTTTCGGTCGGTCCGTCGTGCACGATCATTAATAACCACACGCCGCGCGAGAGAAAACGATGATCCTTTTCTCATCTCTGTTATCAGCGATTCACGTCGGGGCCATCTCGCGTGCGCGCCGAGCACGCACGCACGCACGCGCGCACGCACACACACACACACACACGCGCGCGCGCGCGTGTCGAGACGTCCACGTGGTGCGCTCGTTATAACAGCAAACTGCCAGGGCACGGCACATCTTCCGTCTCCGTCTGCTCCCGCCCGCGCACTCACGTACACACACAGAGAGCCCACGGCCGCGGCGGCGGGCGCTCGCGTGTATCGTGGTGTTGGTGAGTGCGGGAGAGTCGCAAGTCACCTCCGTTCACCTCTCGAGAATCGCCGCCGCCGCAGTACAGTCAAGCACTGCGCGTCGACGCCAGTCCGCCGTGAACCACGAGCACACGCGGACGGGGCCGCCACTCTTTCTCTCTCTCTCTCTCTCTCTCTCTCTCTCTCTCTCTCTCTCCCCCATTCTCGGTCTCTATTGCAACCATATATTCTTAGGATTCGCTCATACGATTTTGGACGAGTGCTCATATTTTTCCCTGTGTCTCCTTCCCAAATCAGTGTTGTTATTGTTGCTGTTCGCCGAGTGAACAAAACTTCTATCGAAGCGATGGATGGTACTATGATAGTTGTGTTTCATGGTGACTAGTGCGCGGACGTTGTTGATGTTATTTTTTTTTTCTTTTTTTTTTCTTTTGCAAAGTGTGTGGTTTTCTTTTTTATGAAAGTGACGGCCCAGCGGCGCCGAGACTTTGTCGCCAGGTGAGAGACTTTCGGTGGGTGGTATTGTTTTTCAGCTGTTTCCGTTTGGCGCGACTGAAAAGGCGCGAGTTACGTAAAAGTAATAATTTCTTTTTTCACTCTCTTGCCGGTATGAATATTCATCCGCGGGGAGCAGCGTGGTGGCGGCCTACGCGATCGTGCATCCGCGCGAAACGTCGCCAACATAATGCTTTTGTCTTCGATGCGAGCGACAATAAAAATCTCATCAAATGAGCAGTGTTTATTTGCGCAAATTGCCGCCAAATTATAAAGTATGACGGCCACGTCTGGCGCGATATGTAAGTGGTGTCGATTACTAAGACTGCCAATTTCCACCGCAATAATATGTGTAATTTTCAAACGTTCGCGCGCGGACGCTAAGCGCGCGACAATGCGCCGAGCGTTTAGGCTTTTTTGAAAACCGATCGTTTTTCTATCCCGGGCCGCGACCGACGATGACAGCAGTTCTGTGTCCGTGCGAATCGGCTTCGATGTAGGCGCATAAATTCGCATCTGTGCGCTCATTTTCGTTGTTGCTGTCTGTCATTACTCGGAGTTTTTACTTTGGTAATGAAATCGACGCGAATAACGATCGTCCGATCACCAGACTACTTTGTTGTTCAAATTTTCATTCTGGCGCCGCTCGTTGAATCTTTCGACGAAAATTCACCCAAGTCACTCGACTCAAAGAAAATCATAAGCGTGCCAAAGCGGTAAAAAAAGAACGACTTATCTTGCGTCAATAGATTTTTGAGCGTGTGCACACTCTTCGTTATCTCTCGCCGCAAAGCACATCAGTAAAGGCAGTGAAAGAGAGCCGAACATCAAAATTCAATTAACTTATCATTTCGCAAATCGCGCGGAACAAATGTTTCGAAGAACAAAAAAAAATACATCCGCAGGTAGGTGGACCCGCGTATAATCGGTGGAAATGGACTGATGGTGCACGGCGAAATCGGTAATGAGCTGTAAAGGCTCGCGGCGTTTCTTCTCTCTCTCTCTCTCTCTCTTGTGCGCGCGCACACGGACTTATAAGCCTATTATGCGCGTGAGTCATTGACGTTGTGGATGTTATGCCGATTTTTCAGTGAGCGACATTGTCCGCGGTGGGCCGAGAGAGGCTCGCGCGCATATGTGGGAAATTTAAAATCCAAGCAAAAAAGAGAATGGAGAGTTTAATTAGGGGCGCTTTTGCCTCACGATCTGCCTCTCCTCGCTGTCTCGCACACGACACTCGGTTTATCTCTCCTGAAAATGGGCGCTCATTTCGCCGGTTGCCCGCGAGGGCTGCTTGCGCGCGACCTCGCTCGACGCGCGCACAGCTGCATTTGTTTTTGTTTTTGTTTTTTTTTTTTTTTGTTTTGTTTCGGCTCGCGCGATTGTTCTACATAACTCGTGCGTGCACGCGCGGAGGCTTTTTCATCCGCAGCCGATTATGTCACTCGACGAATGCACCATTAGACTTCCCCCTCCTGCCCCCTTTTTTTTCTCGCGCGCGCCACGTGAAAAAAAGCGTAAGGTTGTTCGAACAATCGCTCCAGATAGTGCGCGACAATGCAGTCGCTGCAGAAAAAGCAAAATGAAAAGCTCGATCGAGAAGAAACGCGGAGCGCGTGGTCAAGGCGCGCTTGAACAAACAGTTTCAGAGAGAAGAAAAAAAAAGCAAAGTCGACGGCGCGAGCGAAACATTTGAGCGACGCATTGACGCGAAGGACATGGAATCCTAGAGTAGAGTAGAGAGAGAGAGAGAGAGAGAGAGAGAGAGAGAGAGAGAGAGAGAGAGGTGAGAGGAAAGCCGTAAAATGCTGGAGACACCCGTTTACTCGCACCTCTTTCAGTCTGTCTTTGGCGTATATTATGTACAACGCTCGTCCAGCGCATCGATAGACACGCGCGAGTCGCGGAGGTCTCAATCGCGCAATAATAATCGCCGTACGGACGACGATGGCTGACGCCAGATCGAGCCACGATACAGTCTGCGTGCGTGAGTGTGTGTGTGTGTGCGCGCGCGCACGCATGTACGTGTGCGCAATGAGCGAGCGAGAACTTTTCGCGGAGAATGCGTCGGCGTATTGGGTATCGGCTTACATCCCGAGTGCGCGCGTCAAAAATGCTATTACGAGGAAAACTATACTCTACAGGGGAAAGTGTCGGCTGCGCGAGCTTTTGTGTTGACGGAAATCCTGGCCTTGTCGTCTCGTTGGCTGAGCCTACGATTATGAGATCGATCGGGATACAAGTATTCGTCTCTCGTTTAAGGATGATCAATCAATTGCTACATACATCATGTTAGATAAGAACAATAAGAAATTTCATTAAATTTCACCAATGGTTTTCCCTTGGCTAAAATGCGCTAAGCGATATAAAAGAATAGTCGACGAGAGAAAGAGAGAAAGAGAGGGAGAGAGAATGAGAGAGAGAAAATGTTAAAGCTTTCAATGGGGAAAGAAAACTGATTTTGTAATAATTTTACGATGCCTTTGCTCTCTCTCTCCCTCTCTCGTATGTGCGCGCGAGTGTCTATGTATGCGCTCGCGCTAAAGCGACATAAGCCTGAGCGCGCTTGCGGATTTTATCGAGCGCCTTCATCGCGGGTTATTGATCTTACCCTCTCTCTTTCTCTCGAGCGTCAGGATCTTGCAATGATTTATTTGCTTATTAATAGATCGAAGCTTATAATACGATAAACCTGCGCGATAAGAAAATGAACGAAGAAGAAAAAAAATAACAGATACTGTAACTATGCTCCGGAGTGATTTATTCCAATTTTGCGATTTCGCGCGATGCAAGAGGCTGAAACGTCGACACTATCCGCGGGCGTGCGTGTGGTTTTATCGCCTAACGTTGACACATTGGTCTTGACAGCTTTTGCAAAGCTATGCGCTGCCTTGATTTACACAAGATACACGTGGCCGCGTGTGGCGCGAGAGAGATACATTTTTTGACGACCGTCGAGAGCGTCGATCGTCGCACTTTTCCATCGTGCTTTCCCGAGCGGCAGTAGCCGCGCGACGCACGACCATTCACACCAAAACTCCACGACTCCATCGGGGATGAAGGTCCGCGTAGCGTCTGCGCGACCACGTTGCCGAGTCTCTCGCGACTTATACGCTAACCCACATTCGACACGCTCACCGCGTCGCGAGCTTGCGAAATATACGCGACGCTGCGATCGCAAACTGGCCTGATCAACCGGCTACTCGCAGCCGTCTCATGGAAAATCGTCGAGTATTATCTGATTCCAATCGCTAGCAATAAAAAACTAAATGGAAGTGCTAGCGTCGACGGCGAGCACGCGAAGCTTTCGCCGGACACCTCTATACGTCGCCTCGCCAAATAGCCATCGCAGCGAAGAAAGTCGTCACGAGAAACGTGGCGCGGAGCTCAATCGCGATCGATATTCGTAAACGTACTCGCGCGCGAGAGCAAAGTGCAGCAGCAATAGTCGAGGCGAAAGCGCCTTCCTCGCCTGGCAGATTTGCGCGGCCCGATGAAAGGGACCTCCCCCCCTCCCCCTTTTCACTCTCACTCTTGGAGCGATTTTGTCGCCTCGTTTTGTCGATTTCGTACGTATAGGCGAAAATAGCCGAGATGCGAATCTCTGCTGGCGATTTATTTATCGCGCGGTATTCTGTGAGAATGCCAAATGCAAATTCTATATCTCCTTAAGAGCCCGTGCGTTTGCGGAATTTTCGATTCGCTCGCGCCGCGGTTTTGCCGCGGAGACTTATATGTTATTTATGAGGCGCGCACAAGTCAGCCGACGCTCGATGGCGTTGCAAATATCAAACGCGCTCCTCTATAAGACGATAACGATTTTCAATGGACGAGAAAGACCGTCCAGACATTTGCGTTTCTTGCGCGGCTTGTTAAATCTCAGTGTCGCAATCCTGATCGGTGCACGCACTTTTTTCGTTTTCTTTACTTTTTTTTTTTTTTTTGAACAGCACGGATAAGTATACGCGAGAGTTGAATAAAGCTTTTGTGTAATCGCTCGACAGCGCGATCTAATACTTGACAATAACGACGTAGTTTAGCTCGCAACGTGACGGTAGCTCGACAAGATTGTCGCGAACGATCTATCGTGTAACCGAAAACTTCTATAAATGCATTCGTAAAAAGAAAGAAAAGACAAAATACACACCGCCATGCCCATCTCATTACAATATCAGATTAGCCGACAGTTGAAACGTGCATCGACGTGCGTAAAGGTTTGCTGCGCACGGCACTCCACTCGTGAGCACGGAAAAGAAAACAGAAAAAAGCTAACTTTTTCTCTCTCTCTCTCTCTGTCTAGTCACACGCATATTCATTAATGCGCGATGTGTGCTCCTGTGGAAAAGGAGTGTGCGTCTATGGAGAGGGAGTTTTCGACGGAACTGTTTTTTCGATAACCAGCTTGGACGAAAGTTTGACGTTCGATGACGCGAATCAGACGGAGCTGCCGAATACGAGGGCTCCTATATAAGCGGATCGTAAATTGGACTCGCAAGCAAAAAGCGATGTTTTGTAGGCCGCGCGCAGACTAATTCCTACACTTCATAAAAATTACGTAAGAATAATCGAGCGAACGGGCAGATGCGGCGTTACCGCGGGTGTGCGCACTTCGGTTGCATAAGCTGCACGCGGTGCACCTATCCGCGTCGATTAGAATCTGTGGCAGCGCGCCCATCGGAAATATTAATCCAGCAGACGAGCGCGCTGAACGACATTCATCGATTGGAGCGAGAGAAAATTGCCACTGAACGGGACTTAAATGCGCCAAAACGCGGTAGGTCGTCCCGATAAGTAACTTGCGCCGGAGGTTTACCGGTAGATTAAGACATAGCAATTGCATTAAGTGCGGATTTAATGAAATCCAGAGTCGCGAGGAAAGCAAACGAAAAGCCCGGGGGCGTTAGATTTGCGGTGGACTTTTTGTCGACGACGAGCGTTGCGTGAGTATCGACTCCTTAATAGAATCCTATATAGGTGATAAATTGCTATTTGTAATTACTCGAGCGCGCGCGGGACAATCTTAATGGCCGATTTGATAAACATTTACCACTAATTTCTAGCCGGAATCATTCTCACGTGGACTGCGAGAGAGTCGGTGTTATATATCGGGTTTGTTGCAAGATCCCTCGTTCATTCGTTGAAGCTTTTACATTCGATTAATGCACTATTCGTATATTGTAATGTAAGTATGTATTGTAACGACAAATATTTGACGAACGAAAGTAGCCATTTTAGATTTTGATAAACGTACGGAGCAAGCAACAAAGCGTGAAAGCGATTTCACGTACAGTAGCCGTCTGCGGACAATGCAGTGTCAAACTAAAGATGAAAAAGCGCGCGGATCAATTTATAATAAGTTTATTCCTCGCGACTGGGGCTTCCGCGTGCATCTTATCGCCTTCGAAGATCTTCGGAAACGAAAAATGCCTAAACTTTCCATCGTCGGCTTTTCCTCAATCTTCCCTCGCGATCGTACATTTGCGCGCGCGCGGCCCCGGCAACATCTCGGCAGCGAGATTTCATAAGGCTTCCTGCAGGCCCGCGTTTGCTTTTATCGGGCCAGCTGTGTATAAACGATTACGGTGAGTGATTAACACCCTATCGACGAATGTATGCGGCGTTTTGACGTTCGCGCGCCCATATAGGAGCCCGATGCAGGCTGACCGATCTCGTGCGACCATAAATCTCAGGCGCGCGTTTCAGCCAGATCCAGCCGCGATAGCACACGCGAAAATGATAAATCGCCTGTATCGCGAAATTTGACGATCGTTGGACCGTTTCTATCTCTTTCTCGCTCGCGTTCGCAGATGAAGAGGAGCGAGATAGCGGCCAATTGGACACCGAGAGCGGCCCATTAAAAGCGTGCGCCGTGCGTGAATCCGATGCTGTGCAGCACGCACTTCTTCGGACGCGCTCGCGTCCCCGACACGTGCTCGCTTATGCACGACTATCGCCATTCCGGATCTCCGGATGATTTTATTGATGCGCGATGCTTCCTCTTCTTTTTCCGACCGTTTGCTCGGCGATAATTAAACGCGCACGTAGCAAATACACTGAGAGCGGAGGCAAATGGTATGGCTGTGTGTGCACGTGTGCATGTGATCTCGCGAGGCTCTGCGATATGCCGTGCGCGCACGTAATAGCCTGATAATGCTGTAACAGGCCTTTTCGCTCGCGCGCGGATATCATTTTATTAAGTGCTGCGTCGAAATTGTATGCATTAAAGTAGATAAGATCCGGAGTGTATTTGGTGAGAATCGTGATTCTTGCGGTTAAACTCATGATTTTCTTTGATGGATTTCATACCTTCGTTCGTCAAAAGGCTTATCGTGTGCTGTCCAACTGATTTCTTTTTATATCTCGGGATGATAATTTCTTTCTCTAATGATTGTTTTCTGTTTTAGTTGAATGTCGTTTGTGTCAAATTGAATCATTTCGAACGCCATGTTTTCGTGAAAAATTGAGAAAACTTGGTGTCATCTTTGTTGCTTTTATATGTTCATTCAAACATTGCTGCATTCGCTTTATTTAATGTACGCTCTGACTTTTTGATTTGGTTAAAGAATCTGTTGCAAAGGATTGCGAATCGAGAGATGTCAAAAAATGTAATCTGTTATTATAATTACGGAAAGGAATAGTAAACTTATTGTAATAATTGTATTTGTTGCCACCCAAGAAACATTTAAAAGAAGTAAAAGTTGAAATTTATCGTCAAATAATTTTCGTAACTGCAACGTGATTATGAAAATATCTTGTGTAAAATAGTCGTGAGCGACGGTATTTGATTATAGATCAGAAAAGTGCCGAGCAATAGGACAAATGATTCGGTTGCTTCGTGGTTTGAAAAATCTTTCCGAATTGCAGGTAAGGAAGCCGCTCGACCCACATTGATCCAGTGAAAAGCCAGAGCGCGAGGTGTCGATCGGCAGATCAGCGAGGCGCGAGGGAACGCCGGCCGTCGTCCGGGCCGCGCGCTTGCGAGCGCCAATGCCGTGTAGCCGTGAGGCTGGCAGCAGCTCAGCCGGCGGCTGCTGCAGCTTGGCGGCTCGTACGAGCGATGGATGGGTTTGCCCCCATCGTCAGCATCGTCATCGCCATCAACGACGGCTAAGCTCGCCACCGCAGTAGCAACAGCAGCAGCGACCACAAGCAGAAGAGCGAGCGACCGAAGAAAGTCAAATATATGGATGCCCATGGCTGGAACCTGGCCGAGATGTGCCAGCGTTACCATCACGGCAGCCCGACCAGCGGCCAACCCGCGGCCTCGTCCCCGCACAGGGAGCAACAGCAGGCAGCCGGGCAAACGCCTCAGCCGCCGCCCACGTCGCATATCGACCAACCAAGCCCGTCTTACTCGCATTACACGTGAGTTTGCTTTCGCTCGCGCATACCTTCATCTTAATTATCCCCTCATTGGACAAGCTGATGGGAGGCCGAGCTTTGGGCAAGTTTACGGCTGTCAATTTAAAGATTTCTCGATTGCCGAGAAGCAATGGCGCAGTCGAGGAATCTTAATTGAAAGAGGATAAGAGGACAACAATGAGCGCGTACGGCCGCGCGCACAAAGCGAAGTCGTCCCGACGCCAGCGGCCGGCCGCGCGGCTGAGAGAGAGAGAAAGAGAGAGAGAGAGAGCGAGCGCGCGCCGCCGTGTATCCTGAAAATCGTGGGACGCTCGCGCGGAATCGGGATTTGTCGTCGACGCGCCAGGCGATTCAAGGCGCGGGGCTCCCGTTTCATCGGCGCTCTCTGCTGCCCCGAGCGCCGAGCGGAATAGGCGACGGCGTGTTTTACGCGGCTTTTCCGCCTGATAAATCCTCTCGCGCAGTGTTTACGGCCAATTTAGCGACGGCGGCGCGCCGCCGATCCGATCTTACAAATGGACTCGGTACTGTCGAGCAAATCAGCGCGCCGCGTCACGCGGACACAGCAGGAGCGGCCAATTGATGGGCAGCCGGGCGCTGAGTTATATTGCGCCTATTCCGCGCGGTTCGCTGCGGCCGTCCGAAGGCTCGTAAAATTATTTCTTCATTCGCGGACGCACGCGCCTATCTGTGTAGCGCACTGTGCCTCGCGTATATCTGCTGCCTCGGGATTGAGTTATATCAGCTGATGCCTTTAAATTTGTTTTCGATTCCTTCTGCTTCAGAGTCATAACATCGAAATGCAGTAAGCCATAACTGCGATCTATAACTGACAATTTTCTGAATCACTTTCTTGGCTCGACGTTTCGCTATCCAACTGATAGCCTCTTCGGGAGCTGCATGTGTTCTCATTATCGGTATTACAATACATATGAATTCTTCAAAGTCAATCGAGTAAAATTGAGATAGTAATGCATTGTAATACAATGCTGCTAGTCCACTCGTACTTATTATTCATTCCCAAAGAAACAACAGGCATTAAGGACAAAATATAAATATGAATTTCGGTTCCATCCGAATTTATTCAAAGATCATTCAAAGTTCAGCTAAATCTTGAACCCGCAACTCTACGTGCGTTATTCCAAGTAAAAGCGGCAAATTAAAAATTTTCAGCGACCACACAACTCTCACGAGTGAAAAGGTAATAGCGCAAAATCATCCAGTTGTGATAAAACCGCGTGGCAAATAACTATAAGAATTACCGCATGAGCAAACACACGCAACGAGCGCCCGCGCTATAAAAGAAGAGGGAGAAGAAGAAAAAGCCACGTATAATGGTGTAATTGAAAAATCATACAGGCGCGAAGTGCGTCTTGGCTCGCACACTCGTGCATTAACGAAATAACAGTATTTCGGCTGAAGAGCGAACAATAATGGAACAACAAAAAATCACCTTTCCTCTCCCGTCGAAATCAATGAGTGAAATCTGGCGCCCCTCGGCGTCGCCTCGGCTAAAGTAAACATCGCGTGCACGCCAATTGGCGTACACGAGGCGATAATCCACGCGATCGGGATGCGCTTTCACGTGCGCAGCTTTATCCGCGGAAATCACCCGACGTGCATTAATGAGCGTTAGGCCGAGAGATATGCGTGTGTATTATTAGCGGGGCTTCGAAAAACTTGGGCGCGCGCGCGCGCGAGAAAGAGAGATCGAAAATTATCCCCGGCGAAGGCGCTGTGGGCGTGGTCACGGGGAACGTCCTTTAACCTGCGCCTTCTTCGCATAAACACTTGGATTATTTGCTTTGGGTGTGTGTCGCTCGCCTTTTTTCTTATGCGTAGTCTCGAGATTTTCGTCTCAATATTTGAGCACGCATATTTCATGAATCACAGTCTAGTTTGCATGTAACGAATGTGTCTATTCATAATCCGATTGTTTTATTTTACGATACGACTGTATCCGCATCGTTTCACATTTAGCTTTATTTTCAATACAATCTTCAAAGTTATAAGTTTCCTTTACTGTAGTGTCAAAATTCTTCGAATCAAGCTATTACCATCAACATTGTTTTCACCTTACAGTACTCGGCAAATGCTTTCATTTTCTTTTTTCTGAATCTCACACTCTTATTTATAGGTCCTAGAAAGTCCCTCTAAACGTACACCTTATTTTTTTTAAGAAAAATTGCTTTGCCACGCATTTCTGAACGTTAGAACGAACGAAAATCGTTTTTGAACGAGTCATTTTCTTTCAGTGAATCAGTATTTCAGATTAGGATTCTTCGAATTAGTTAATTTTACCATTATTATGGGAATTTACAAAATTGAATTTTCTTACAGTAAAGTAAAATGAACTATTTCGACAAATCCTTCATTTAATCTCCTGTATTCATTTAATGGAAAAGTGTTGCAAACCAAATTTTTCAAAATAGTAAGATGTTATGGTTAAGAGGACTTTCTAGGGACCTTAATAATTGAGAGCTTGGGTCTTAAAAAATATAACCAAAATTTAACCAATTAAAAGCGGTTGCCGAGTACTACGACGTGAAAAATATTTCATAATGATGACTTTATAAGAAGGATTTTTATACTACGCTAAAGAAAACTTATAATTTTCACTTTTTATTACCAGCTGGCCCCCTTAAGGTATTAAATAACTTAAACGATCATTTGGGATTGTAAGTAAAATAAAATAAATTTTCTCGAACGTTTCGACTGACTTCATCAATCTTCTTTAAGCTCTATGTAAATATTATCAAGTATTGTTACATAAAATTGGCATTATCAATAATTAATTCTTATCTAGAGTCAATTTTATCATGAAAGTGTCTGAAAAGGATTATAATCAAAAACGTAATGCCACATTGTATTCTTGCAGAAGAACTCAGTTAAACGTTTTTAAAAAGAAATTCTCAAATCAGCGATTGCAACAGACAAATTCTTCATTATTCAACACACGTGCAATGCAATATAATATCGTATTTGTTTAACTTGTTTCATACGCTTTTTCATACGAAAATCACGATTCATATCGTCTAGATAGAAACGATTTATCATAATGGCTCGCTGCGAGTGTAAAAAAATATCACGAATACATAATTACAAGCAACGCCTATAATGTCACGTTACATTAATCTTGTTAACTAGTTTACACTTTGTTAATCATGGCTATTAGCCGCGTCTTGATGTGATTTTAGATCTGCATATGTGCTTTTCTTTGATAACTTGAGCGTGAAAACATATAAGTATATAGCGGAGCTCTTTTTTCATACATCACCTTGCAAGCAAATCTTTTTTTTTTTCGAACAAAGTTACTGTTAGTTGGCCAGCGATGTTTCCTAAAGTGTTAAATTTGCCGAAGCATAAAGGATGGGTAAAAAATGAAAGCACGCACGTATTTCACGATTAACGCTTGGTGGCCTTGTGAATTTTGTATGTACGAAACGAGGCGCGAAACGCGACGATATCTGTCGCACGATGGAAACTGTAAAAACCGAAGCGTCCAAATATGGAAAATAAAACGTATGCAGAATATCATATGAGTAAATAGGATGCATAATTCAACGTTGTGAAAATCTGCATGGATTTCACGCGTCGACTGCTCGCTGTTCGCCGAAAAAAAGCAAAGAAAAAAAGAAGCGTATTACACCAGCGAGGTAGCAACATCGAACAGAGCGCACGCACATAAGCCATCGCGAGACAGCGGCGTCGGCGTCGGTCACGCTTGGCTCCGCTCGCTCAGGGCCGAAAACCGAGGGCGAGTCGTGTGTAAATCCTCTCGTGCGCCCGTAACTCACATTTTTCGGGCGCCTCGCGGACGGAATTTCCGAAAAAAAGAACGGACCGAAATCGCGTGCGCGTCATTAGGGACAATCGCCTTGATCGTGCGAATCGCGCGCGACGCCAAAGTCGCGCCATTTTGTACGTACGCGTAGTAGATGCAGTAGCCGTGGCGACAGTTGTCTATTGAGTGTCGTCGAGATCGCAGCCGCGTGCCGTGCGCAAGGCGACTGGCACGCTCGAGACGCGATCGCGCTTCGCGGTGCCGCAATCAGGGCAAATGCGATAATTGCGCCGGACGCTGATTTTCTCCGTTCGATTTTTGGGAATTTGCGAGCGACGGTCGTTCCTTCGGACCAGACGTCATCGTCGCAACGATCGCTGAATATCATGCGACGGCTAGACTGTACGCATTAATACGTAGCTCGCTGTTGGTCCTTCGAAAGCTCACGGCGATTCCGCGTATGAACGTTGCCTTTCGGTCGGGCGACGATCGTAAACAATATCGCACGCGCCTGCCGCGAAAAGCGCGGCGGCACCGGAAGTCGTGTCGAACATCTTTGGCGAGTCACGATTTTCGTGACTCAAATGATTGATGAGCAGGCAGAATTGGCTGCCGCTTCTGCGAAAACGCCGCGCTCGCGCACCTCTGGGGGCTGCAATGATTTATCGGTCATACGTGCGCGGGTGTAGGTCGCAGCTTTTCAGCGCCAGCCACACACACAACGCAAACTTGAGGCCGGCGAGGCTATTGTTTCAGATTTTCAGATTATCTCGCGGAGGACATCGATAATACCCGAGTTCGTTCTTTCCTTTTGGTTTTGTTCTTCGGTTGCCGAGACCATTATTTCGCCGAAGAGTATAAATACGAGTGAAAAGAGGGCCATCGCGCTGACCCTCTGAAGGCCGGCTTGTATAATTTACTTGCTCTCTTCAACGCTCGCTGCTTGCGCTCTTGTTTTTCGACTGTCTCTCTCTCTCTCTTTCTCGCCGCATTCAAAATAACCCAGTGCGCAGCTGGAAATCGCGCTAAATACGACGAGCGCGCCTTTCACGCACAATTTATCCCTCAATTAGCCGATAATCAGCAATATCAATCTCGGCGTGTAGCAACAGCGCAAGCGCGCGAGCGCGCCCTCAGACAATGGTCACTAATAAGGAATAATAACAAATCACGAAGAAATATGATCGTTGGTGAGCGAGCAAAGGAGCGACACGCGACT